GTTGGGGTGGGGCCGCGGTTGTGGGCCCAGGCCCTCTTCTTGTCTCACTTCTCAAGGACGCTCGCCCAGTGCCCCGGCCTGTGCTCCCGCAGGGAGGGGAAGGGCGGCGGGAGGAGCTGTTGGAAGGAGTCCTAGGAGCACAGAGCAACAGGAAGAAAACGGAAGTCAACGCTAGGAGAAGGCGTTGTGGGCACCTGAATAGAATGGACAGTGAGCGCAGATCATAGTGCAGTATTCCTTGGGAGAAAAGGGCGCAGTGGCAGTTCTCAGCAAATGTCTCTCTAGATTCAGGGCAACCCCAGCCACGGCTCAGAGGTTTGTTTGCTTGTTTTTTCTAGAGCCTGAAACACTGAATCTAAACCTCTGACTATTGAAAATGTGCAAGAATAGCCTGGAAGTGTTTGTAAACGAAGAACAAGGAAGAGAGATGGGCATATTCAACTCTAAAATGATAGTAATCAAACCAATGTGATTTTGTCAAGAGAATAGGAAAATAGATCAGTGGGAGTAACAAAGATTCCTACAAAAATATGTAAAGTTCCTTCCTATAATTAAGAAGTTAAATAGCCCTAGCCTGTTTGACTCAATGGATAGAGCATCGGCCTGCAGACAGAAGGGACCCAGATTCCATTCTGGTCAATGGCACATGCCCGGGTTGAGGGCTGTATCTCCAGTAGGGGGCGTGCAGGAGGCAGCCGATCGTGATTCTCTCTCATCATCATTGATGTTTCTATATATATCTTCTCTCCCTTCTGAAATAAAAAAAAATAATGATAATAAAAGTTAAATAGCCCTGGCCAGTGTAGCTCCGTAGTCAGGTCATCAACCTGCGTGTGCATCGAAGGCTCAGGGGTTCGATTCCTGGTTAAGGGCAGGTACCTGGGTTGCAGGTTCAATGCCCAGCCCAGTTGGGTTGCGTGCAGGAGGCAACCAATCGATGTTTCTCTCTCTTTTCCCTTCTCCCTTTGCTCCCTCCCTTCCACTGTCTAAAAATCAATAGAAAAAATATCCTCGGGTGAGTATTTGAACAAACC